TCTAAGGTCATGGTTCCCAACCATGGATGGATGGATGGGTGGATGGGTGGATGGATGGATGGATGGATGGATGGATGGATGGTTGGATGGATGGAAATGACAGCCTCATTGGTTAATGTATGAGGTATAAACAGCCATAGTATCTAAAGTGGGATGCACTGTAATGATTTTTCCATTTTCTTCTTTTATTAAATCTTTATTTAAACAGACAAGTCCCATAGCAATCACAAATCTCTGTTGCAAGGGAGGCCTGGACCTGAAGGCAGCTTAAACATGTTTTTTTAAATTTTTGCCTACGGGTGGAAACGGGAGTACCTGGACAAAACCCACAAAAACACAAGGAGGACATTCAAACTCCACACAGAAAGACCCCAGGTCCAACCCAGGGATTAAACCCAGAACCTTCTTGCTGTGAGGCAACAGTGCGAACCACTAAGCCGCCGCACTGCCAAACATTTGATGACACACGATCTGTGCATCTGTCCAGCCGCAAGTTCTGAAATGGAAAATGTTCAACACGGGTTTAATGCGTAGTTGGCAACACTGATGAGTTACATGCCATGTCTCTTTGGTTTTCTAATGCAAGCTTTCTGTACGGAAGCTCACATCGCTGCAGGAAGTGGTCAACTCCACTGGTGATTTTTGGATCACCAGAAGCAGCCTAAGAAGGGTTCCATTTTCTTTTAAACAATTTTTTAAAGCAGCTTTTATATTTGTTTTTTTTTAAGTTTCCTCTGATCACATGATTATCTCTACCTCATCATATTGAACTCACTGATGTGCAGATTGATATTACAATTTTATGTATCATAAATTGATATATTACCATACTTGCCGCCGTATATGTTGCAACTCCGTATAGGTTGCATCTATTATGCGTCACCGCTGACACGTCGCGTTTGTTTAGCATCACTGCTGACAACCCAGAAATGTGGGCCGGTGTTGTGCCAAAAATCGATTGGCTGCCAAATGGTGGCCGCAGGAATGTGCACGGGAGGACTTTAACAAGAATTTAACTAGATTAACACTTAAAAAATAATTGTTTGCTTGAAATTATAGCAAAGGTGTGTCTCAGTTGAACTTTCCCTTAATAAATGCACTTTAATGGTCAAATCAGCTGCATTTCACCTGGTCAGTGCGGAGAAATGCAGCTGATTTGACGTTTGTTCCAGGAGTTCCTGAGTGAGACGAAATTGGCTTTGTATGGCAAGCCAAGTACCTCATTAATATCCACTTTAACCTATTACTGATGATATTAATGAGGCACTTGGCTTGCCATATTATTTGAGCGCCCTCTAGCGGCTGAAAATGGTAGTGTTCAATGTTTTCCATGTCAGAATGAATGAAATCGTCAGATCTCAGCCAAAGATTGTGTTATAAATATGGGAAAAAACTGTATATTAATCTCTTAGGTGTTTAAGTCGCAGGACTTGAAATTTATGTAAAAAGGTGCAACTTATACAGTGAAAAATATGGTAGGTGAAGTTTAAATACATATCTAGACATTCAGAAGTCATAAAAATAGTATCTTTAAATAACTTGTGAGCAGACGTTTTAATTATTTGAGTACATTTGTTTTTAGATACACAAAGTGACGGATTTCTCAGTTTTCTTCCCTTAAACTTTTTCAATTAAAAATAAAAAAATATTCCTCCCCAGTGGTAATACAGTAGGCAGGGTGAATTTAATTTCTATATTAAAATAATTTTAACCCGCTTCACTAGTGCCAGAGCAATGCATGTATAAGCCACCCTGAAACAGCTTGATCATTGATGGCTCAGCGGTGTGTTGGCAGCCAGAGGACTCGGGTTAGAAGCTGAGTGAAAGAAAATGTCACCCTGAGAAGAGGCCACGCTTGATTGCACCGGGATTGATCAGCGCTTGATGCTCACAAGAGCGTTTGATTTGACATCTCTGCTGCAACTCTAAAATCTCCTTCGCATTCAGATTTGAGTCCTTTTGTGACCCGATCCACAGTTGTCTTCCTCATCTTCACTCAGACGACACCGATAATTGACAAGCGCTGGTTGCTCGAGAAGTCGGCAGTGACTTTGGGTGGAGGAGCGTGATCCTCAAAACAAGAGGCTGAACTTTTTGAAGTTTCTCATGTAGCAAGAATTTTATCAATTTAATTACCGGCAAAATGTGTTACTAAAAGTTAAACTAGAGAAATTGCATTTCCTGCACAAATGCAGTGTGAATGATTTCTGAGAAACAGCTAAAATTAGCTAAAAACATGCTGAAATTTAGATGAAATGGAAAAACAAGCCTAAGTTAATGGAAGAAAGTAGAAAGAACACATATTTTCTGAATTAGCTCTAAATATGCCGAAATGAGTATAATGATGAGTATAGTGAGCACAATGAGCTTAAATTAGCAGAGAAGTTAATTAGGCTGAAAGTAGAAATTATAACAAAAACTTGAATTTATCTGAAAACAGCTGAAATTAGCTAAAATAAATGCTAAAAATGTAGCTGAAAAGGTAGAACAAGCTTAAATTAGCATAAGAACACAGAAAGAACATGTTTGCTTAATTATTCTACCAATTAGGCTGAAAGAAGCAGAAATTAGCACAAAAAAGTGGAAATTACCTGGAAATAAAAGCAGAAAATTGCAAAAATAATTATAAACAGCTGAAAAGTAGCTACAAAATCAGAGAAGCTTAAATTATCAGAAGGAAGTGAGGAGAGGACTTTTTTTTTTTGCTGAATTGGGCTGAAGAAAGTTAAAATGAGTGCAAAAATGTGGAATTAGCTAAAAAAAAAAACTAAAATTAACATAAAACAGCTAACTAGTATCTGAAATAACTTAAACTAACGTAAATAAGCTGAAAGGACCATAACAAGCTGATTAGCATAAAGAAGTTAATTAGGCTGAAAGTAGCAGAAATTACCATCAAACACTTGAATTTATCTGAAAACAGCTGAAATTAGCTAAAAAAAATGCTAAAAATGTAGCTGAAAATGTGGAACAAGCTCAAATAAGCAAAAGAAAGCAGAAAGAACACATTTGCCCAATTAGGCTGAAAGAAGCAGAAATGAGCACAAAGAAAAATTGTCAGAATAAAGCTCAATTTATCCTGATGCATGCTCAATTGCTCAATGCTCAAAAGCTCAATTTAGTTTAAAAAGTAGCTGAAAAGTAGCTACAAAAGTAGAAAGATGATTAAATTACCAGAAGGAAGTGGATAGAGCACATTTTTGCTGAAATGGACTGAAAATGTTTAAATGAGTGCTAAAATGTGGAATTATCTGAAAAAAGCTCAAATTAGCATAAAACAGCTAAATAGTAGCTGAGTTAGCAGTAAAAGCTGAAACTTGCAGAAATAAGCTGAAATGAGCATAAGCTGAAATTTGCAGAAAGAAGATAGAAGAAGCACAAAAATGTTGTAGTTACCAGAAAAACTCAAAGTATCACAAAACATCTGAGAAAAAAAAACCCAGCTGAAATTAGCTGAAAATAGCTGAAAATGTTTAAATTTGCACAAAGAAGCTGATCCAGAACAACATGTGAAAGGAGCAGTAAAAGGTTGTAAACAGATCTAAAGATTTGAAGGATTTAAAATTAGCTCAATTCATCTTTTATGAGGGAAAAAAGTGGCAGAACAGGCTAAATATTTCAAAAAGCTAAAGTTGCACCAATACAAAACGTCATAGCAGGATTGTCCTGAAAGAGCTGAACGTTTTAATATATAATTTGTTGAAATTGCTTGAAAACTGCCGGACGAAAATCACTCCAAAAAACAAAGGGAAGACAAATGGATCACAATAGTGTGGATGCTTCATAAGCATTCACACTATTAAGAATCTGGCCCAAATAAAGTCAGCGAATCACAATGAAGCCCTGTTCACACCACCTCGCCCAGTTCATTGGCAGCAATGCTTGGAAATGCCGTCACAGACCTAAAAGTGATCTGAAGCATTATGATTCGCTCTTACTTCACAGTGACAAATATGCTCTCAGTGGAAAATTTCAGTTTATTTTTGCCTCTTCTTCTTTAACGCAGCATGTTAAAAATGGCTCCTAGCACTCTACGGTAACTAAAGGAAGACGTTTATTCACTGCCATCGCCACGCTTGTCAGAACAAAGCCACATCACCAACATATTATTTTTATGGCTGTAGTCCAGTTTATGTTCTACAACCTGTAATGATTTTGAGCAAAATGTCAATATAATAGTTTTTTTTTTTAATGAAAGACATTTATTTACTGGTATTACCCAGAGTTCTAAGTGTGCTTTGCAAGCAGCCCAGTCCCTCACTGCAGTTGGCAAAGTCGTCAAATTTTAATGCCTACAAGTGCAATGACCACTCAGTGATCCCGACACTTACAGTTTTATGTAGGCGAGACTTTCACGGGTGGGTGTACGTTATGCAGGGTTAATATCCATCAAGGGGCCGCGTGCATGTGTGTGTTGGTGATCATCAACTGTAGAACAGGGTGTTTTGCCCTCCTTGAGTCTGGCTGGGCTCCCTTGTGACTAGCCTGAAATGGAAGTGTGCTGCAGGTCAGTGTTGGGCTGTAATTATTTCCTCACTTCATTAAGTGCGAGTAAACCATCACACTCAGCACTGCAGCTAATGCGATGCCCCTCTGGCATTGTAATGCTCTCTAAATGAATGCCCCTCTGACAGCCTTGTGCCTAGTGGGCAGCAGATTACTGCAGGGTTAGCCCCGACAACGCTCGAGCCTCGAGCAGCAGAAGCATTCATTATCAGGCTTGATATGACCCAGCCGCTCCTCGCTGCTCTCGTCAGAATCGAAGGCCGTGGGCTCGTCTGAATCCTCTAAAGTCTTGTTGGGGCACCACATCGCTGAATCATAAATTAAATGTAAATGCCATCTGGAAGCACCTCACTCTGACAGGTAATCTGCTCTTAATAGCCATGACTATTTGCCCATTCCTGCCACTGCGCCAGGTGCTGCTGAGGAATTGAAGTTTTGAACTTCTCAGCTACTAACTACTTTTTTCACACCTGTGTTGTTTTTTTTTTTTATAGGTGAGACAACGGTGGAGGAGATGTATGACAGGATGTTTACTGTCACCAGCCGGGTGAGGTTTTCTGTCACCAAAGAGGATGATGGGATGCCAGTGGACTGCATCATTGACCACCCAGCTGTAAAGGACCTCATGGCTCAAAGACACTTAGAAGTCCAATGTGAGTAACCCAGAACTATGACATTTTGGGGCCAGACCCAAACCAAGTCCTTGTAGGGTGTGCCGGGATCTGCATTTTGTGTGGGCTAGCTGGGCAGAGGCACTAGTTTTTGCACAATTTACATGACAGTGAGAGTAAACAGAAATTACAGATAATCTTCTGGCAAAGTAAATAAGGTAAACAGCTAAACAATCAACACAGCCTCCAGAGAGACGTAACAGACACTGTTTGTTAGTTATGGGGTCATTTGGAAAGCAGTGCAAATATTGAGCTCCATGCTCAGATTGTCCTCTCACTCCTTCACTGCATGTCGTTTTATTCCCAGAAGACTCACAGGAGGACAACAACACAGCTGCAGACACATTTCGGTCTTTATTTTAATGAAACACTGCTACATAATTACTGGATATTTGCAATGATTTTTGTTTTGACAAGTAAACATAAAAACACCACTGGGGCTATTTTTAGGCATACACACTGAAACTGATCCACATTTTTCTGCATCACCTAAAATAAAACCCTGACATGGGCTGCAGCTGTACTTCTGTTAATATATGCTAATCTTCACAGTGTTAATGCTGAATTAGTCTTTCTCACACAGGCAGATAAAAACAGAAACTACTAAATAGCAACAGTGCTTATTTATGCCTCTGAAGATATGATTGGTTGGAAGAATATTAACAATGTCATTGGAAATACAACTATATATTTTTTATATGAGTGTATATATATATATATATATATATATATATATATATATATATTTATATATATATATATATATATATATATATACACTGTATATACTGTACAGGTATATATGTGTGTGTGTGTTTATGTATAAAAGTATATGTGTGTATAGATAGATAGATACAATGGATGGATGGATGGGTGTACATATAGTTTTTTTAAATTCTGTACACGTTTTACTACAAGATGAAACTAAAACAATCTTGTCGCAGTTGTTTCAATTTTATTCTGATTAATCACAGCAATAAGACCAAAAAACAGCCTGAAAAAATATAGTTTATAAACTTTGATTTTTTTAAAATTAATTATTTAATTAAATTAAAATGTAGATACAAAATCCTGAGGCTAATCAATCCAGATGTATTCGCATCTTGTTTGTGAAGGTAAAGTGATAGTTCAGATCTTTTGAAGAGGGATTTTGTGGATAAATGTCATACAATAATATCTTACCTGTTGTAGATATTTCTACATAGCTTAAAATCTGGAATCTCTTATGCTGTCGTCCTACCTACAGTAAATACTTTAGGTAGGATTATTAACTAGGTTCATTTCCTCTTATAGATGTAAATTAAAGTCCTAACATTCCTTGAAGGAATGCATACCCACCACGATTTTTCATGCCAGAGTTTTAGACTAAAATCTTCTGGAGAATTGAGACAGTTGTAGCTGTTTTGGTCAAAACTCGATTAAAAAAAAAAAGTTTATGTAGAGCTGTCTCAAATTGTGTTTGCTTTATGTGAAAATCATCTGTAGAGTTTTATTTTAATCTCTTCTGGGGGGTCTATCAGATATTTTGCTAACGAGAAATAAGCACACAGACGTAAGTCAAATCATTATCAAACCCTCTTTTGCTTTCAGTTAAAACAAAACAAAACATATCCTTTTATCATTGCCAGTAGATAATATATCATATTTCTTACTTTTCATTCTTCATGATTTATGCAAGTAAAGTTTAATTTATGTGTTTATGTCAAATCATATAGTGGTGACAAAACTAAAACATATATTTTTCTCAGACGTCAAAAGCTGTTTAGATGCTCTTAAACGTTGCGGTGATTGAAGAGGTAATACAAGCTGCCTATCACTGTTAAACACCCCAGAAAGGTTAAGGCACACTTTTGTAGTCTGTGCCGAATATTAATTTCCTTTTTTTTCCAGGTAGATAGCTGTTTTGTTTGACCTTTCAAGGAATAAGAGAAAGGTTGACTGAAATCGCTTGACATTTTGATAATCTTTTGCATGCAATGATAAGAGAAAAGAAAAACCTTTTTGCTGTAAGGAACTGCAAACCGACTGGATGTCGACTGAGCTCACTGATTGTTATTTTACTTGTGGCTGTTTAGCTTAAATTTAAGTGCTTATTGTGTGACTGCTTATGAAGCATTCACACTGATCCATTTTTCTTCTGTATGTTTTTCAACATCTTCCTCGTTCAACTATTTTTTTCTATTTCAACTCGTATATCAAAACGTTCAGCTCGTTCAGGAGAAGGATGCTATGACTTTTGGTATTGGTGCAACTTTGGCTTTTTGAAATATTTAGTCTTTTCTACCATTTTTTCCTCAGTAAATGTTTTTTTTTTTTTGTGGGGGGGGGGGGGGGGGGGGGGGTTCCAGCCATTTTCAGCTAATTTCAGCTGTTTTGTGCTCATTTCCGATTCTTTCTGTCAATTACAATGTTTTTTGTTCTTCTTCTAACTTCTTTCTGTTAATTTCAGCTTGTTATGCTCCTTTCAGTGGAATCTAGCTGTTTTTTGTTTTGTTACCTTTTTCCTTTTAGCCATCCTATTTGTTAAAAACAAAAAAAACAAAAAAAAAAAAAAACTGTAGTATGAGTTTTTATAACTGCTTATTGTTGTTGCTGTTGTCCATTGTTGTCATCTTTCTTTGTTGAAATCAGGTCTCTCTTGTAAATGAGTCCTCGAGGCTCAATGGGATTTACCTGTATAAATAAAGGTTGATTGATTTCTGTTAGTTTAAGCTTTTTCTGCTATTTCAGCTACTATTTAGCTCTTTTTTGCTAATTTCAGCGTTTTCAGCTAAAGCCACATTTTTGGCAATCATTTCAACTGTTTTGCAGCCTAATTCAGCAAAATGTGTTCTCTCCACTTCCTTCTGGTAACGTAAGCTTCTTTCTGATTTTTGCAGCTACTATTCAGCTGTATTTTGCACATTTCTGCTTTTTACAGATAATTTCCACTTTTTGTGCTCGTTTCTGCTTCTTTAAGCCTAATTGGGCATAACTATGGTCTCTCCATTTTATTCTGGTATTTTAAGCTTCTTCCTGCCTTTTCAGCTACATTTCAGCTATTTTTTTTGCTAATTTCAGCTTTTTTAGCTAATTTACTCATTTCCGTGCTCACTTCTGCTTATTTAAACCATATTCAGCAAATATGGGTTCTTTCTTCTTTCTTCTGCAAACTTTGACTTGTTCTACCGTTTCAGTTACATTTCAGGATGCTTTAGCTACTTTCAGCTGTTTTTCAGCAAGTTCTTCAGCAATTAGCATTCTGCAATTTCTCTAGTTCTTTTTCAGATTCACTTTAGATTCCAATTATGCATTTTTTTTTATCCAGTATTTTTTTATTTCACCCCAGCATTGTGAGCACCCATCTGTTTTATTTCTAGATAAACCAGAGGTGAAGATCTTGGTGACATACCCGAAAGGTTTAACAAGAGAAGGAGACAATCTTGATCTGACATGTGTCGCTGAAGGGAAACCAGGGTGAGTGTTCACAAAGATAGATGACTGAAAACATCTGCTTGTCCACTGTATATCCCCCTCTCTGCCAAAAACCTCCTTAACCTTTCATTGTTCCATTAAACCAGTTGTTAGCATGCCGTACACCATTAGACGGGCCCTGCTCGTGGCCCTGCGCTGCAAATCTTAGATGTGACCTTTATTTCAGATTTCGCTCCCGGACAGACGGCGTGTGAGTGATGTGTTTGGTATTTCTGCTCTTAAGTCCCCATCAGATCAACTGGCTGAGAGTAGAGGAGGAAATGCCGCCGCACGCTGTGGTTGCCAGCTCTGAGCTCTACATCGAGAACCTGAACAAATCGTATAACGGCACCTATCGCTGCGTGGCGTCCAACGTAGTGGGAGAGGCCTACGATGACTACATCCTCTATGTTTACGGTACATTTTACCCCTGAGCGCACGTGGTTTCAGTTTTCCTGATGCCTGCGATTCTATTTACCTGTTGTTATTTTCTTTCCTTGCAAATGTTTATGTTTAAATTTTTTAAATAGGAATGGCACAAAATATCTTTCGTGCAGATCCTGTGTGCACTGTAAGTTTGCTTCACGACTCTATTTATTGAGGGATCAGCTGTGAAAGCAAATATTGTGGACGGTGCTGAGTTTAAAACAAACGTCCCCAGGGGGACAGTTGGGTAAATTATACTGTGTTACATCATATAAATGTGCAGTCTGTGTTGTTTTAATGGAAGAAATACTGGCTGTGATGTTTTGGGAACTGTACTAAAACAGCATGGGTTGAAAATACTCGTTTATGAAACAAATAATTACTTTGTAAAATAAAAGCCTGACGTTGAATCCATCACACCCTCCTTCATGTCAGTTCTAGACTAAAAGCCTATTTTGAGAAATCTTGCAGCCATTTCGGTCAAACCTTGACAATAACTTTAGGCGCCACCGCACGTTGTTTGAGAGATGCCTTGCTCAAAGTGTACTGTCAAATTGACTGAATTATGCTAACTTTTTATTTTGACATTTGCTGTAATGACCATCTTCAATTGGACTGACTCCATCAGCTGTCAATATATATACATAGCAATTACTTCCTAAAAGTTTCAGTCGAACCCATTCAGTGGTAAATGAGATATTTTGCTAACAGACAATACAGGACTGGCGGTAAAGGGTAGAATTTTAAGCAAATTTTGCCTAATGAGTAGCATTTAGGCTATATGTTGCAACGGACTCACAGCTACAAAAACAATAAATTTTAGAAGAATATCGGTAAAACTTGGGGGAGTGGTAGCGCAGAAGTTAGAGGTGGCGAGTTTATGATCGGAAGGTTGCTGGTTCGACTCCCTGGACCGACAGCATCAAAATGTGGGCAGGAAAGATGAAGCGCCCTCACTTGCCCCACTCTGGGCCCTTGAGCAAGGCCCTCAACCCCCACCCTCTGCTCCACACATAAGGCTGTGGTAGCTCAGTGGTTTGTGGTGGTGTCAGGAAGGGCATCTGGTGTAAAATCAACTGCCAAGTCTTCATGAGAGTTAGTTCGCTGTGGCGACCCCTGAGGAAGGGAGCAGCCGAAAATAAAAATAAAAATAAAGCATCTGTTAAATGGGCTGAATTATAGCTATTTGTAGGTTTTTTATGGTCAGTTAGCTGTGGCAGCCATCTTGAATGGCGTCAACTCCATAACGTAATCGGTTGGAGGAGTGGTGGCGCAGAGGTTAGAAGATGAACCTGTGATCGGTAAGTCGCTGGTTCAACTCCCGGTACCGTCAACATCAAAAAATGTGTGTAGAAAAGGTGGAACACCCACACCTCCCTCCACCCTCATTCGCCCCACTCTGGGCCCCTGAGCAAGGCCCTTAACCCCCACCATCTGCTCCTAAACAGGTCTCTCTTGAAAATGAGTCCTCGTGGCTCAATGAGACTACCTGGATAAATAAAGGGTAAATGAAAAAAAAAGGTACAGTCAATAATTATTTCCTGGAAGTTTTAACTAAAACTGTCTAGGTGATCATGGGATATTTTGCTAACAGACTGTGTTCTCTAAATAGATAATGGTACATTTTTAAACAAAGATCATGCATATTTATTTGTGCTCATATTACATGTTGAAAGTCAGTCTCAGGTACTACCATGCCAAATTCTAGGTCAAAATCTGTCAAATCAACTGAAGTAAAACAAGTTTTGTGTTTTTTAGGGTTTGTTAGCTGTGGCAGCCATCTTGAATACAACTAATTCCAAACGTTAATCTGGTGTCAAGCTGCATTTAGTGATTACTTTCTGAAAGTTTCAGTTTTGGGACGTACCTGTATGAACATAGACAATTAAAAACACAAAAATTAATCCAAATATGCACCTTTTTTTTAGGATGAGTTGTTGGTTTTACACAGAATTCACAAACACACCAAGCAGAAAGCAAGTCATAAAGTTGCTGCTCATCTTTTTCTTTTTTACTGCAAGTTAAAAACCCTGGCGGAGAATCTTAATAAAAAGACTGAGCAGCAATGAAAAAAGAGGAGGAAACAGGAAGTCAGACATTATTTGTCAGATTTATATTTTCGGACCAACAGCAGATAAACCAGGTGGAACTGGAACCTGTTGTCCAAACACAACATGCACCGCCATATGCATCACAGTTACCAATCCAGAGGAGGCAATGCACAGGTCATATTTATACACACATATGAAAACATATCCCTGTTATGCTTTCAAGCAGCACGGCAAATTATCAACTTTTCAGCTTCAACTAGCTCTGCCTTTTGTGACTTGAGGCAATTAATCAGAGTTCCCTCACTTCCCTCTGGAGCCTCTTAATAATTATTATGACCATGTGCCTTTAATGGTCTGTTTATTAACATGTGGATTGTAAAATGTATTCAATTTTCCCTTTGAGGCACTTTGGTCATTGCTTGTTTTAATATCTCTACTGTGTATGGAAATGGAAACAGTCGAGTTATGTGAACCTTGTCAGAGAGTTTCTTTGTCAGTCGCATCACATGTGGCACATGTAGTGGGATGAAACTGTGTACACAGGGTCCCAGTTACATCAAACAATAGCAACAATATAAAGTGTAAAAAGAAACAGTAAATAAGGATCTGATATGTAAATATACGCTAAACGAATGCCAACCTGTACGTTAAAAGATCTGATATATACCAGTCACTAATAAAAAAAACAACACACCAAACAACAAACAGCAGCACGATTCTCACAGGTTCTGTTCGGCTATAATTTACACACTTAATGCGAGCACTAACATAAACTAAACTAACATTGTCTTATAAAACATTACAACTTAATTAAATTCAGTTTATTTATATAGCGCCAAGTCACAACAAAATTCGTTTCAGGGCACTGAACAGAGTCATTCATTTATTTATAATATAAGTTAACTCTATTTATCTGAGGAGCAGACGGCTTTGAATTTAACTCCATCATAGAGCTGTCATCTTGAGCAAGCATGAAGGTGACAGTGAGAAGGAAAAACTCCCTCATGAGGAAGAAACCTTTAGCAGAACCAGGCTCAGGACAAGAGACCATCTGCTTTGACCAGCTGGGTTTGAGAGAAACAGGAAGGAGGAACAGATACACAATGGCAGGTTGAGAATCACATGCTAAGATAGAAATAGTATCAAATGAAAACTATTCCATTTTTAGCAACTCTTTTAAGGAGATAAGGTCAGTTTGTCCTCCAGTAGTCTAAGCCTATAGCAGCATAACAAGCCAACCCTAACTATAGGATTTATCAAAAAGAAAACTGTTAAGCCCAGTCTTAAAACTGGACAATGTGTCAGCATCACGGACAGAAACTGGAAGTTGGTTCCACAAGAGAGGAGCCTGACAACTGAAAGATCTTCCTGCCATTCTGCTTTTGGAACCTCTAGGAACCGCGAGTAAGCCTGCAGTCTGAGAGCAAAGTACTCTGTTAGGAAAATATGGAACAATAAGGTCTCAAATATAAGATGGAGCTAGGTTGTTGAGGGCTTTGTAGGTTAGAAGTAAGATTTTGAATTCAATTCTGGACTTGACAGGGAGCCAATACGCTGCAGACTGCGGCTTCACATCCAGACACTGCTGATTTTATGTGATTCTTGACCGAAAATATATTTGATTTTCTGTTAATCATTTTTAAAACATATATGGGCGGGGGGGGGGGGGGGGGGGGGGGGTTGGGGGGCTTTGTTGCATTGTACAAAAGGCAGATCTTCATCAGGTCATTAACCAACAAACTATATGTTGCAAAAAGCAAATTTCACCCGGATTATCTCATATTAGCTAATTTTATGTGTGCATTTAGGATGAAAATTAAGATGTATTAACATATTCCGCACTCCTAAAGGTCAGCGGATTCTCTCACCCAGGACTTTAAATGCAACAATTAGCTGCTCTTAGTTCGTCTCTCTGCTTTGAAGCCTCGTTATTTATTTTTACATCTCAACATGACTGTCATCTGTTTCACAGCTGCGTGTGTTGTGTGCACTTCTTTTCATTTCAACCCATCACAACAAAACTAAACTAAAATGCAACAAATTAATCACTGAAACATTTCTGCTGCTTTTGTCATGAATTTTACATGAATCAATTTGTACAAACAGTAATCTTTTCTCCAAACGCAATAAGCTGTTGAAAGACATCGAGAATCTTTGCACTTGCATCCCCAGGGGGGCACAGCAGGAGGTAATTATCTGAAATGTTTAAAGCACAAAGGACCTCAGCGTAACGTGATGTCAGTGAAGCACACACTCCTTGGACTTTTAGTTCCTGTTTAGTTGTATTTTTTGTTTGGGTGTTTGTTTTTTGGGGGTTGCTGGCAGTTGTGCTGAACATGAGAGAGATAAAATACTTCTTTTTTTTTTCTTAGCAGCTGCAACTATTGTTGGTAAAATTAGCTTTTTTCTCCACGGAGCGTCATGTTGTTTGGAGATGAGTTTTGGCATGTGTGTCCCAAAAAATAAAAAATGTAATTAAAAAAAAGGTTTTCTGTTAGTAATAACATGAAAAAGCAGGAATGGAGGTGATGTTTAGACTAAACGATTTCTTAAAGGAAACTTTATATTTAAGTCCAATAAAAATGATAACATTGACTGTTTTTATTATTATTATTAATACGACTTCAAACATCTGCTACGTTCATGGTAAAAACCAGCGAAGACATGTTCCTGTCTTTAGTATTTTATATCGCTTTCTAGTCTAGCTGTTTTAGTTCATTTTTTAATTTAATTTCTTCCATTTGTTTTTCATTTTGAATGCTTTTTTATTATTGTCTACTGTTGTCATCATTCTTTGTTAAAAACAGGTCTCTCTTGTAAATGCGTCTTCGAGGCTCAGTGAGACTAACCTGTTTAAATAAAGGTTGAAATTATTATTATTATTTTCATTAATTCATTCAACCTTTACTTAGACAGGTTAATCCCATTGAGCCTCGAGGA